CTCTCTCTCTCTCTCTCTCTCTCTCTCTCTCTCTCTCTCTCTCTCTCTCTCTCTCTCTCTCTCTCTCTCTCTCTCTCTCTCTCTCTCGTCTTTGCGTGTTGTCTGATCATACAAATGCATGGTCGACTTGTGTCTTCGCCCCCAAGGCTGTGATGTCCCCAGCCGGCTCCAAATCTTGTCCCGCCGCCTCCACAACCAAACAGCTCCTGGGCTTTGAAGGAAAATATGTGCAATTGTTTCCGGGATGTTTCGAATTGGGAACGCAATGGAACAGAATTTACACCATAGTAACACAAGTCCCCTTTGTTCTAGAGAAGATCGGTCGATAATCCAATCGTAGGTAGGCAAGCTGCAATGATCCATCCACCATTTCAGAGAAGCTATCTTTGGTGGTTAAACTCCAATAGTACTAAACCATTTTTTTTATTGGACGAAGAACCTCCCTACTCACATATAGATGACGCATCAACGGGCCTCAACTTTATCCTTGGGTCTGAGACTTTGGTATGTTGATTTAACTGTTGAAGTACGCGTATGGAATGATCGCATACATAACGTCCCTCCTCCCACCGAGCGGGTCCATGTCCAACTACCGTCTTCACCCGAATAGAACGCCCGGTAATTATCGCAGCATCTGGACAGAAAGTTGTGCCAAATACAGCTATAATGACCGGTCGTTCTATTCAGGTGAAGACGGTAGCTGGATCCAAGGCCAACTTGTCAATGGGTGTGGTAGGTTTGAAGGCAAGCCATTGATCCTTGCAGCGTAGGACCCTGTTTCTATACCCTTTGATTGAGAGGGAGCCATCTAGTCACTTCTGGTTGACTTTATGCAGTGTGTGATCCTGACAAACTGTAAAGACAAAAAGGAGAACCTCGCCATCGCTATGCATGTCCATGATATTTCCAATCTGATACTGATACTGATGATCATGTATGGCTAGCCAATCACTAACCTGCAAGGTAGGCCCCTTACGCAAGATTCTGATCCAGTCTTAGAGGACCCTCTCCAAGTGTTATGGCAGATTGATGACAATAACAAAGATGGGATTGAATATCCTCAATTGAACCTCAATCTTTTGCGTCCGACACCATATCACCGATTCTTACTAGGACTCTGTTTTTTTTATCCATCCATGCCAGGGAGAATCCATAGAGTGAAGTGTCTGCATCTGTGGGGCTGTCATCCATCGATTATCAAAAAGAGGTTGCTGACATACTTGTTCCCACCTCTTGCGTGGGACCTTGTCAGGAAGAGGCAATTTTTGCCAAGTCTTTAGAAGGTTTGGCCAAAATGGATCCTTACGCAAGTCATTTCTTACTGCCAGACGGTCGTGGTCAATAATGTGTTTAGTCGACTGAGACCCCCTCGGGATAGACCAGAACCAATTATCCAACCACACTAAGGGGTCAGTACCCAGTGGAACTGGGGGTGCAAGGAGTCAAGGGCAAATCTTATAAGTACGTTTGAAGATACCTGGCTCCATCCCCCAAGGAAATTTTATGATTCAGATGAAGGTGTCAATTTCATATGGAAAGACTCGAGATATTGTGACGCCCAACCTCACGCCCAGCACGACTTCCTGATTGGAGTGGGCCTAGGCCTGGAAGTGCGACAAAGGGGGTGTGCCAAGGATTTTAGGAAAGTGAGGGTGGTGTCTCAGGTCGGAACTGAGATCTCCTGTGCCGAAGTTCCAATGACAGAAACGTAATTAATTCGGGATAGGTGGGTTATGGTCCCAAGAAACAGCGGGGTTAACTGAGTCCTGCATGGGGTTTAATTGACGGCGACGCCGGGGCTGCGCCGGCATACGGCACACGCGAAGGACGCAGTGGGTATCCCATTGTCCAACACGCGGCGCCTGCAGGACACGCAGAGCTCCAAATCCGATGACGAGGGAGAAAGTATTCATGTTGCATACTCGTGAAACACAGTCATAAGTATGGCGCAGGTTCCCAGCACCGACCAGATAATACAGAGTAAGTACAATTACAGCGGAAGACTTGATACACATGGACTGACTCAAACCTGACTCA